GCTATTTCTCAATCATGTCCCTTGGAATCCATGAGAAGAATTTCAACGGCAACATGTTTGTTCACCAAAAGATGTCCACATGGTGGTTTCCCAAGTCATGGGGGTAGCGCCAAATCATCCATTTTTTTAAAGGATGTTCCATGATAAAAACCATAGGAGTTGCCATGAGACAAACCATCCAGCTTTGGGGGTACCCCACCATTCGTTGGTTCGTTGCTTCCGAGGCTTCCGTGAGGACCCCGGGCTTCCCCTGGCTTTGGAAGGTGGGCGACCAGGAGGGACCCCCGGAGCCCCGAAATGAATAGACGAAGATCCATTGCGGAACCCATGCGAAACCCATAGTTTCTATTTGGAGTTTGCCTGGGGGACTAGGGATTTTGATCCTCAATCATGATACATGCACAAAAATCCTGTGACATGATCATCATCATCATCATCATCATCATCATCGACAAGGCATTGTCGTCAACGTTGCGGATTGTTTCATGGCCTGTAGGTGCTTAGACCTGCTTGGAGCTGGAACAGCCAACCCCGCAAAAACGAAGCACCAATGCACCCGCAAAATTATTCGCTTCTAGGGTGTAAAGCCATCCATGTTTTAGGTGATCAAGAATCTCGAGCCACTCCAATATTGATTGGCGGTGATTTGCAATCCCTTTATTTCTTATTTCTTGGTGACCCTTTCCATATCCCACATGTCCATACACATACGTATATATATATAATATTACATAATCATATATCCACATATCCCAGACATGTCAAGTAAATGGTTGGTGCAGGTCAGCTCTTCTATTCCATGCACATCAACAACCGGCTCTACGACCAAGTCAGGGAGCAAGTGGATTCCATGCGATGTCGGCTGGCCGCTGCCTGAGAGAATATGATCTCCCCGTTCCTGAAAGAATCCTAAGATCTCCCAGATTCGGCGCAGGTGAAGTCGGTGGAATGGAAGATCGACCAGGTGGGGAGGATAGTCAGAAGGGGATGGGTCAGCGTGGAAGATGTCTTTTGTCATGGATTCATATGGAGGATACGCGTACCGTAGATATCCGTAGATGGTAAATCCCAAATGGGTGATTTTCAGTACAATGATGATGACATATTATAAACTACTGGAGGATGATGGGGGAGGGGTACACTACTTTTGGATGAAGAACCAAGGCCTTGATCCACATTGCTGTTTGTCAGCACTGGCGCCTTCTGAGAATCAGAAAAAGTAATCCTAAGTTGAAATCACCTCTGATCGTAAGGGATGTGTGATGATATTACCATCTGGTTATGACTGACATAGCCATGGAAAATCACAATTTTTTAATAGGTAAACCATCTATTTTCATGGGCCATGGCTTCCATGGCAAACTGTTAGTCATATCCAGATGGTAAATCACCAGAAAATAGTGGTTAAATCCCAATTTTTCAGAGGGTATTAATGATGTTGCCAATGGTGATTTGATGCTTCATACGATTCTTAGGAATTGGTTCCTGACTCACTGGATGAGACCGATGAGACCTGTTTGTCTCGGGCTGCACGTGTTTCGTGGGTTTGGTGCACGCGGAAGTCAGATTGATGCCTGGTATTGGTTCTGATGAAAAAGAAAAATAAAAAGGCAGAAGAAAATGAAGAGCATATCAATTGAATCAATTGATGCTCCCAAAGACTGGTAAGCAGCGATGGGGTGGCCCAAAATCCATCGGCCCCCAATATGCAAAAATTGGTCAGTCCAAAATCCCCATCGCCCCTATCATACTTTCCATTAAGATTGTTTTTTTTCGGTTATATCATGTCATATCCAATTTCTGGACACCCAATGTTTTCATGTTTGTTCCAGAGGGTTGAAGCTACGCAGGCCTCGTGGTTGCCCCAGTGCTTTCCTCCAGGGGAAGCCTTGTGTAGCGCTGCAGGGATGCCAAGATGTTGAGGCTGATGCCCTTGAAATAGAAAA